GAGTGTGCCTCTTGGCTCAAGTAGATACAAGAGACTAAACCGGCAGCTTCTGTCCAGAGGTGAGATCAGAAGGCAGAGAGGGTTAGGAGCTGGTTGAATGGACATGGGCAATCAGGGGTGGAAAGGAGGAGTGTGCTGTCACAGTATGGGGAGGGCAATTGGAGTCACATAACAATGTATCTATAAATTTTTGTATGAGAAAAAATTAAAAAAAAAAGATTCCTTCCAGCTTTGTGAGTTTGACAAACACCTGTACACCACCTCCTTCCCTTGCTCCTCTAACTCCCCCGCCTGCTAAAAACATACCCTCATACCCTATAACTGGCCAAAGCGTTCAGTGAGCCTCAGTAGTTGTGCAGAGTCAGAGAAGCGTGACTGAACCAAACGCAAGGTGAACAGAATGGAACTTCTTGGTAATCTTTTGTCAATGAAACCACTGACCTAGAATTCTAATTGCATGGTGACCTCCTAGCACTAGCTGCAGTGACATGTTCAGCCTCAACAGAAATGACTTGCTGGGGGTTGGGCCTCGGCAGTTATAGCAGGCTGAAAAATGGTGTCCCCAGGAACTTCAGGGTTTCTTGGTGGTCTTATGCCCCTCCTCACGCCACTCTTTTAAAACAGGGGGATAGAAAATTTTGGAAACGGATGGTGGTGATGGCTGTGCAACATGATGAACGTGGCTGATGTCCCTGAGTTGTACATGTAAGGAATGTTGATATGGCAAATGTTTTGTTTTATGTATATGTATTTGTGTGTGTATACATATGTATGCATCTATACCGCAATTAAAAAAACGATGATTATTAAAGTTTGAATGTTCACTATTGAAAATGCTGAAGAAATAATAAACACCCACAATTCTTTCTCTCAGCAACAACAACAAAAAGATTGGCTCATAAAATAAACAAAATCACTCATAAGTACTGTGCCCCTTAAACAATCAACTGTATTAAACCGAACAGTCAACATTTATGAAAAAGCAAAGATGAGAAGGCAAGGAGGGGAAGGGAAGCTAGATCAATGGAAACAGAACAAACAGAATGGAAATAATGAGAATGCTGACACATAGTGAAAATTATAACCAATGGCACAGAACAATCTAAAAATTGTTCAATGGGAAGCTAATCTGCTGTGTAAATTTTCCCCTAAAACACAATTAAAAAAAAAAACACACCCACACAAAATGTCTTTTCAGGCACTGGCATCTAAAATTCCACATTTCCTGCTTCTCTGTTCATGCTTTAAGGTACCAGTGGAAACCAAGGGAAAAGCTGAGTGGGCCTCAGTAAATCACAGGGATTGAAGCCCTTAGTTCAGATGGCACAATATCACCTCTTCAAGAAAAATCACAGACATACTAATAATGCATTAAAAGGCCAAGTTTCCCTCAATGAAAATACTGTATAGGGTTCTCCCATCCAAATGCTAAGTTATATAATGTGCCTGAAAGCCGAAAAAGGCAGTTGACAAAAGGATTTCCTTGGCATTTATGAGATTGAGTCTGAAATCCTTAAAGACTAAACTGCCTTTAGACTCAGGATAGTAACTGTGCTTTTGACTTGCACCTGGTCAAGTTAACTGAGTGTATTATATATAAATTGATACTAGACTTCTGTGTAGGCTGTTTTCTAATGCTATTTTATATTTCTGTACTTATACAAGTTTATCTTAGAGCTCAGCAACTGATAGTATTGTTGGATGTAGGATATATTCCAAAACATTTTCTAAACAAATTTTGGGATTTTCAGAACATAAGAATGTTCTACAAACATCAGAAAGGCTGTGCTACAATTTATAATTAAAGCTTTAGAAAAGGGGGAAGTGGGAAAACCAACAGAGATGTTGAGAAGAGTCTATAATTTTCACGAACTAAAAACGGCAGACCCATTGTCTGTCTAGTGCCAGCTTTCATTCAAACAAAATTTATTAATAATCAATTACCCTAAATGAGGACCTCCATTCATTAAATCGAACACCTGAGCCGGATTTAGCAACTGTTTAAATCGACGAAGGAACTTTACTCCCTGATTATCTCCGCTCTTGGAATTGACAAAAACCAGCAGAGGGCTAACACAGAAGGAAAAAGTTGCTCTACAGAAACCTGTAAAAACACACAGGACAAAGTCAACATGCAGTTTTTTCTTTTAAATTATTAACAAAAATTCAGAGAAAAGAAAATGAACTCATAAAAATAAAGATTATGTATTACCTGAACAACAAATTATACTTCAAACCCTCCCTCCCATCCAAATGGGGATATGTTTATTATTTACATAGTAAGAATAGAGACCCTATCTTCTTAAATATACTCTATAATAAATACCATACCAAGATGGTAAAAGAATTAATCATAGGTAATTTGAGATACACCACCTGTGTTAACTACACTGAGTTATAGGAAAAAATAGTCTAAAAATTCACATTTGTCAAAGAATTTGGATATTCATATTCAATATTAGAAAAATGTTTTAACTGGTCCTTGCTGAGGCCTGAGAATATATTTTAAAATTTATATTATAGTAACAAAACCCTGATATATGAGGACTTGTGTGTATGTGATGAGGAGAGTTGGAAATAGCAAAGGTTAAAAAAAAAAAAAAAATCACATGATATCATAGGTACCTATAATATCTATTGGTATAATTTAGATAAAACTATTTGAAAAGCAAAAAGCACTATATCAAATGCAAAACATTAATAACAGTATATGGTAAAAGACTTTCGTAATACAGTCTGCTTAGAAGGAAGTTATTTATTACAATGCTGTCCCTAAACCAGCCATTGTAAACAGGTTCCTCAGCACTTAGAGCTAAGATGTAAGATTCTGGGAAAAGAGAATGAGTTTATGGGAATATAAATTCCTACAATAAAATTAGAGAAACGTGGATTGTAACAATAGCAGTGCTAATAGGCAGTTGAATTATGGAGGGGGAAAAATGTACAAAAATTAACCTTTTCAGTTTGTACTTCAGTTAAGAATAATGATCTCATTTGCTGAAATTAATATAAAATCCCTAAGTCTTATACATAGTAATTTTACCACTGTGTTGATAGCTGCATGTTACTTTAATTTTAAAAAACTCTTTTAAAAATTCAATGTACTGTTCAGCATTTAAATAGAGTTATTATATCAAAACTGACCAGAATAACCAATTACAGTTCTATTTATTCTAGGTAAGTAAATGTACACATCCACAGTAAATATATCAGAACTATACATACTTACACTACTGTTACCTACCATCAGAATCAGTGCTGTTTAGTGCAGTGGGAGGTATGATAGATACTTTACATTGGCCAAGTGGACATACAGGATGGTATGAATCTTTGCAGGCAGTGTGTACCTAATAACAAACAAATAAACCTTCAAGAACCACAAAAACAAATTAATGTCTTGCTATGTTATAAATTCCATTTAAGGAACTGATCATTGAGGATCAACTGCATCACAAAACGTTCAGGACTTCATAAATTTCTTTAACGGCACAACATTTAATACTGCTAAGGAATGGACTAATCATTTTAGGGATGGGGATTTGATTCTGGTCTCTGCAGCCTATTCACAGGACTGTCTTAGGCAAGCAGTATATAGTGAGCAAATGCTGCCGAAGGCATGTAGAGAGGAAGAGAAGACATGGGGACAGGAGGACGGAAGGAAGGAGGGAAGTTAGTCAGTATGGCTCAACGTCATTGTCCATAAAACAAACTGATGACGTCTATCTTCTAAAATTCTTAGAGAATTTAATGAAAATAAATACAATCTTGAATGTTTCCACTCCCTTTGCAGTGGTCTTCTAATTTTCTGTTCATACCTCTTTTAGGGCATTTTCTTATTAGTATAGTCATACTAATATATGTATAGATATATTTTATATACATATATTATACTAAGGTATATACTAATACGTATAGTTTGACTCATACATGCCTATTTTCTCAGCTAGACTCGTGGTTCTATAAGGAAAAAGAAAAGTCCTATCACTGTACACCCCTCAGTCTAACATGTTGGAAAGTGGTGCCCATCCTACTCTCTCAGTAAGTGAACTGACTCTCTGTAGAAACAAAAAATTTTCAAAGTCACGTAAGATGCTACTGAGAACAAAAGCAAAGGTAACTATTATGGAAGGACTCAGACAATTTAAAATACTTTATGTACTTACCCAGATAGAGCCTTTGAAATGTTTTAATCAGTAAAAGCAGACCCTTCATAAAGCACTTACTTAATACGGCTTTATTTCATTAGCCTTTTTAGAAAGCTGGCTTACTAATTAAACCTGTACTTATCAAAACTTTAGGGAAAATAATGGAAATTTAATAGTGATTCTTGGTCTGCTGATGATCTAGTTTTGAACAGTATCCTATTATGATTTATAATATTTAAAAGGCCAAATGGATTTTAGAAAAATTTGCATGCAGTTTTAAATGGAATAAAAAATGTACGAGCAAAATGGAAAAATATGTGTAATAATATTAAATGAGGAATAAAGTAGAAAATAAAATTGTACCTTCACTATATTCCAAAAGAAGGTAAAACTACATCCAGATACTAGACAACAGGTGGAAAAATTATGAGTTGTGAACTATGGGTTTTTTGAGTTTTCTACTAGATGATTATGTTTTAGGCACTAGATATCCTGCTGTTAGAAACTCATATTTTAAAGGCAAAATAATATTTAAACAAATAAATGATGATGCAATCTATTTCTAAAAACCCAGCAACTGAAAACCCTATGGAGCACAGATCTACTCTGACACACCTGGGGTCACCATGAGTTGGAATCGACTCGATGACAAGTGGGATAGGAAGTGCAGAACTCAAAGAGCTGTCACAAGGGTGATGGTGGCCCAGAAGCCAGCACGTCTAACTTGCATAGGGCGAGGCAGGGTGGTAAGGGAGGATTTCACAACTAAGGTGAGATTTGAGTTTGGCAGGAAAAAAGAGGGAAAAGGAATTCCAGAATGCCCCTTCCTACTTGTGAAATTTTTAGAGGCTGCGGGTGAGTAGAGTAAGCAAATGAAAAACATAAATAATTCCTACTGCTAAAGATAGTAAAGTTCAAAAACTACTGACTAAATAAAAGTAGGGACATACATAAAAAGAAAAAAAAAAAAAAAAACCTAAACCAAACCCGCTGCCATCGAGGAGATTCCAACTAATAGCGACCCTATAGGACAGAGTAGAACTGCCCCACAGGGTTTCCATATTTCAGGTAAAGACAATTACATAAAATATTTCTAAAAGAATTCATCACACATCTCACTTTAAAAAGAAAAAATACAGTTGACTCTCAAAGTAGAGAAACAGACTTCAATAAATGTGCAGATTAATAAAAAGAGCGATAAATACATACATCAGTGGTTGCCCCCCAAAAGGGGAAGGGGGAATAAAGACTTAAAATCTTGCTTATGGGTACCACTCCCTTAAAATAAGGAATGGCGTGAGAGGGTTCAGGGTTGCACGGAAATTCCAAAGAGAGGTATCAGTTATAGTCTATATATTATATTTAAACGGGATAAGAGAAATAAAAAGCTAACACTGACAGCTAATAAAAGAGGTAACTGATGAAGAATAACATAAAAGTATGAAGACAAATAGACTTACATTTGACTTTAAAATTAAAAGGAAGTACAAATTATCTATCAGATTTGACTAGGAAGTTGTAGGACTTAATTTCCTCTGTGGCCCATGGAATCAATCTCATTGATTATGAAATTAACACTTCATACTCACATCTCTTACATTTGCTGATCTATAAACCACACTTATTAAAGCAATAGTTTTCCAATCTTTTTGTATTTGGGGCTGACTTCCAAATTTGGGCCAGCAACTTTAAGAGATTAAGAGTCAACACAACACTAAAAAAGTCAGCTCCACTTGCAATGTAATCACTCCTACTGCATGACACCATCTCTCAGTGCTAATATCAGTCACCGCCTCCTGACTCTGTGGCATTTTAGCTGCTAGAAACTGTGTGCATGGCCTTGTTCCTGCTCTGACAGTCCTCATGTCATCTGGCATAGCAGGACCATTTCTTGCTGCTGGATACACATTATGCTGTGTGTTTTTCACCCCTTCCTTGCACACACAGGCAAGTTTAAAAACATTTAAAATATCAGCGCATGACCTACTGAACTTGGCGTTTCTTCTGTCAGAGAACGTACACGGGTATTAGCAAAATGTAATTTGATGGCATTCCAAACAAGGGTTGTATGTATGTAACAGGCAGTGGTACAAGCTTGAAAATAGCAAACCACTAAGTGTGGCTAAAATATAATGAAAACCAATAAAAGTGTGGAAGAGTTCCTTAAACCACCAGCACCAAAGCCATTGTCATCGAGTCACTTCTGACTCATAGCGACCCTAAAGGACAGAGTAGAACTGCACCATAGGGTTTCCAAGGAGCAGCTGGTGGATTTGAACTGCTGACCTTTTGGTTAGCAGCCATAGCTCTTAACCACTATGCCACCAAGGCTCCGGAAGAGTCCCTTAGACAGAAGAAATGTAATAACAAGAGCTAAGTATTACACAAAGGGCATTTAGAATGGAAGGAATACACATTAAAGACGACAAAGGCAACTATGGGGTGTGTGTGCTACCAGGCCCTGCTCTGCCATAAATTCTTTGTCCTGCCTCAAAACAACACATATGAAAAAGTTTTGCAAAGAAGCTAATTAAAAAGTATAGAATGATTAGAAAACCCTTACCATTGCTTTGCACCAAAGGCATTTCCAGTCTTGCAGCCGGAGAACACTACCGCAGGTTTTGTCACAGACAACGCATTTGGCGCTCACAGGCAAGTTGCCCTCGAGCCACTGGTGAGGCATGGCTACCTGGGGGGCAGGGAGAAAGGGCAGGCAAGTGAGAGACTGTGAAGGACATCATTCTTCATTCTTATCCTAGTGAAAATACTTATTTCTGACTCTATGGGCTCAATAATAAGCATAGTTTATGGCATCCATTCATTTACCAAACATTTATTAAGCACCTGTTATGCTCTGAGGAAACCGTGGTGGCACAGAGGTTAAGAGCTATGGCTGCTAACAAAAAGGTCAGTAGTTTGAATCCACCAGGCGCTCCTTGGAAACTCTATGGGGCAGTTCTACTCTGTCCTACAGGGTCGGTATGAGTTGGAATCGACACAATGGCAATGGGTTTGGTTTTTTGGTTTTTATTATGCTCCGAACACCACAGGGTTACAAAGATAACACAGTTGCCACTGAGTCAATTCCAAATCACAGCTACCCCATGTGTGTCAGAGTATAACTGTGCCCCCGTAGGGTTTTCAACAGCTGATGTTTGGGAAGCAGACTGCCAGGCCTTTCTTCCAAGGGGACTGCTGGGTGGACTTGAACCACCAACCTTTCAGTTAGCAACCGAGCATGTTAACCATTTGCATGACGCAGGGACTGCGACAGATAGGCATGTAAGTCTAAATCTGTGCCCTTGAGGATTCCTACCCTAGCTGAGGAGAAAGACATGTAAAGGATTATCATAAAGTGATCATTACATGCTATTAGAGATTTGTATACGAATATGACGTGCTATGGGCAAGAATCTTCAGGCCGGAGCTCTGCTGAGAGAAAACCCTGAAGTCTGAGGAGTGAACACCTGAGCTAAGCCTTGAAGAGTAGCTCAGGATTTGTGAGGGAAGGATCTACAACACCAGCCCATCACAACAGCCACTCAGCCCTATTCACAACAGATCTTCCTCAAAATTTAAAAGCTAAAGAAAGCTATGAAGGACTGAATGGAAAATAAAAGCTCATAATTAAACAAAACCTTCCATTTAATCCTAATAATAAACATTTTCACTTAACCATCATTTCATACATTTTCCAGAAGAACTGAAAATAAAGAAAGGAACACTGGCAAGAGACCAGAGACAGAACAGAAACATACGCCATCTTCGTCCTCTATGATGTCCTTCCCAATGGAGGCCAGAGTCGTCCATTTGCAGTTATTTGTTGCTCTCACTGCACACCTTTTGTGAGCTTTGAATTTACACACTTAAAAAATAAAAAGTAAGTCAATCATTTTTTAAATAATTATGTACTTATGTACCAATAATTAAAAAAAATCACAACATGAAATAAATGTTTAAGCGGGTTACAAGGAAAACAAACATAAAAAAAGTTTAAATTACTCTTCAACAATAGTAATGGTATTCTGAAAAAAAATTATGCCTATCTACTCATGAGGCGGAAACCCTGGTGGTGAAGTGGTTAAGAGCTATAGCTGCTCACCAAAAGGTCAGCAGTTCGAATCCACCAGGCGCTCCTTGGAAACCTTATAGGGCAGTTCTATTCGGTCCTATAGGGTCGATAAGAGTCGGAATCGACTTGACGGCAATGGGCATTCATGAGGCACTTTTATTAAACTATAGATAAAGTGATATTTAGAGAGAATGAACTAACTTATAAAAGAAAAAGAGAAAGGAAATAAATACAAAAGAACTAGTTCTTGAAGAGATGGGAGACAATACATACACATGACACAGAAGCAAATAAAATCAGTAATATCAGGGTGCTGGAAACATCTTCTTCTTACCGTGGGTGCTGATCACATGAGTGTGTTTAATTAGTGAAACTCACTGAGCTGTACACTTCTGATAGCTGCATTTTTCTGTATGTATAATATACTTACAATAAAATAAGTTTGAAAATATCGTTATGATAAAGGATAAGGATTCTACAGAAGAGATTTAAAGTGGAAGTATGTCAATAAAATATCCAGGCAACATGGGAAATAGGGTGATGAAGTTCACAAACACAGCCATTGCCTTTTAAAAGTATTATGTTGAGATGACTACATTATAATGTAGAAGGAAGGAATGATGAAGTCATGTTCCCACTACATGCATCTAATTCTCCCCAGCCCTATTATCATAAAGAAGCCTATAAAAGAGATCTTAGAGGAAATAACCAGGAAAGAAGTAGCATATATGTGAAAACAAGTAAACTACAGATTATTTGGGAAAAAAACGAAAAAAACAAGGAAACCACAGATTATGAATTTGAAAAATTAACTATGCTAATGAAAATCAGAACTTGACTACTATTATATACATTTATCCTTCTAAGGGCACAAATTATCCAAGCATTAGCAGATACTAATGTTATGTCAGTTTTTGACTTTGCTGATAAATATTTAAAAGTTGAGGTCATTCCAGTGGGAAACATGAAACTTAGTAAGGTGACTGTGGTAAATTCTACACGTAAGGTGGCTCCTTTTCACATGCTCTTTTAAATGTCTAGGTGTCAACCATTAACAAACTTGGAATGATGGGTTGGTTACCCACCATTCTCTTTTAACTGTCCTAACTTGATATACAATGAAGACGAATGGGACAGGTCAAATAATTAAGATGCCTATAGCCAAATGTTCAAATGCTTCAGGTATCTTGAACAGCTGATACATACGTGGCCTCTAAGACTGAGCTGGTTCTTCCTTGAAATATAGTTATGTTTATACTAATATACTGTGTTCAGAAATGTTTCATTTACCTCCTCTTTTGTGTACCGGGACACATTTCTCTCCTGGAACACATACAATTTTTTTTCATAAATAATTGTGTGACTCCAACCCAGACTTCACACAGAAAACAAAAATTTTTCAATTGAATTTTGTTGCTGATAAACAAAGAGCGTGAAGAAATAGCACTAAATAGTAAGCTTGAAAAACGGTTTTAGCATGACAGTTCCCTTCATCTATAAAGGTACTTCTCAAAAGTGTGGTCCTAAAAGAAGTCCCTGGGTGTTGCAAATGGTTAATGCGCTTGACTGATAACCAAAAGGTCGGAGATTTGAGTCCACCCAAAGGTACCTCAAAAGAAAGGCCTGGTGATCTACTTTCAAAAAATCAGCCATTGATGCCAGTGAGCCAGGTCAGAGCAGCAGTGACTTCCAAAGCTTCTCTAGATCTGTTCTGAAAAGGTAGGGTTCCTTTTTCCCCCCTTATGAAGAAAATTATGATGAGTTCAGAAGTGAGACTTTAGAAATGAAAAGATTAGACTTGCCAGAAAAAGGGATTGAACAACTTTCAGGAATTTCAAAGATTCTGCATCTCTTTATACTATTCTTGATAAAGTCAATTATTATTAATTAATTAATGTCTGTTGTCCCCTCCTTTTTATTTTTCTCTTTCTTTTGTAGTTTTAGGGATATTTAGTGTCAACTCAATGTATCCCATTTTAGAGTAAGTTTAACACCCTTATTAACCATTCAATTTGTCCTTGTATCATATTTAAGTTACCTCGCTTTGCCCCAGTCAGCTGTGGGCCTCATTAATAAATCTCATGATTAAACCTCCCAAAGGTGCAGAACTAATTGGTTCGCTTTCTTCTGAGACAGAGTACATCAGCACAGTCTCCTGTAACCTCCTCTGTGTTAGCCACAGTGTTATTTGGATTTGAGTTCCCTCCCTCAACAGCCATCCTCTACAAAAGTGAGGCTCTTCACCACAGCCTCCTCAGTACACACCAAGCTCCATGTAGGGTGAGCTCATGGGCTTCTCCCTGAGGCTGCACTTCACCTATTTGAGGCTCTTGTTTTGCACAAATGAAGCCACTGGCTGAATGATGACCTCTGGATTTCTACAATCTAACATCTAAATGACAAACACTATGATATAATTTGGATTATTTATTTGTACAAATGAAACCTTCCAGCAAAGAAAGAAAAAGTATGACTTATGTTTGACTTCAATGCTTTTCCTCAAAACGAATTTGCTTTACCAGCTGGAAACAAATCCTGTATGAACAGAAAAATTCTCTGTGCCCCATGGATCAGAGTCAGAGTACAGACAAACTGAAAGAATAGAACGTTAGTTACTTGACTATGTGATTCACAGGTGCCACCAGAAGGGAGCACAGCTGGTATTTTGGACATAGGTTGGGCACTAAAGTCATGAACTGGCCTAACGGCATCACTTCTGCTCAGGCAGGCCTCAGTCCCCTTCTGGATGGCAGTGGGGCAATACCACATCACTGGGGGGGTCTCCAGCTAATGGGGATTTGCCGGTATGCTCCAGGCAAAAGTTCCACTCAGAGGGAACCGAAGCATCGTTTGCTGAACAACATAAAGAAATAAAACCAGTCATTTTCTATGACTTTTAGATTAGTTGAATTAACTAACTTCAAAAAGGGGTATAATTTACCTATTTGGTTTAATTTCTTACTATGATTAGATTGATTTGACAGGTAATGAGGAAGCACTGAGGATTTTAAAGCAAGGTTAACAGCTGGATCAGGTTGAATTTTTAGAAAATTTTTGGAAAATTCACTTGGAAATGTATGTGGATGTTTTGGAGTATGGAGACAGAAAATAACGAGACAGCGTGAAGTGGTGACAGCCCTTGTACATCTCTCATGAACAAAGACCAACTCTCGGCTAATATCCACACTAAGAGAGAGTAATAAGTTGAGTCATGATTTAAAAAAAAAAAAAAAAATTACTCATCTAGAATTGCACATGTAAAAAATGTTGAACTGGCAAATGTTTTGTTACATATATACTTATCACAATTAAAAATGATCTATTTAAAAAAAAAATCAGCCATTGAAAACCCTACGGAGAACAGGTCTCCTCTGACACACATGGGGTCGCCATGAGTTGGATTCTACTCCAAGGCAACTGGTTTGTGGTCCTAAAACCATCTGCATCAGAATTCCCAGCGTGCTTTTTAAGTACTAATCATTGCTTGATACTAACAGTCAATAAGTGTTTCCTAAAGGGAGAAGAAGTGTAATGCCAAGGTTCTTTGAAAATTCCACCATTAAAAATCAAGTAGCCCATTAAAAATAAATATCACACTTTTATAATAATAAAATGCTTCATGCAATGAGCTTTGAGAGTTACAGAGTGTACAGTACAACATATAACGATAATAATAACACAAACCAGACTGGAATTATGGTAACTAAGGAATGGAAATGATTAATGGGTATCTTATTTTGCTAGAAATGATAATTAAACAAATGTCTTCAAACAAGCAATTCTAAAATAAAGCACTTTTCCCTGACCTGTAAAGCTACACTTTTAAAACCACAGAACTTAAAAAATATACTGACATGTGACAAAATTATGTCAGTGCAATATTCAGTCTCCACCCACAGAATTTTTGTAAGTGGTAAATAAAAGTTCATGAGTACCCATGTTGATATATTTGATGCTGTTGGTAAAATAAAAAAAAAATCTAACATTTTTTACAATTACTGTTTAAATAACCATGAAAGACAATTATGCTCTGAAATTATAATAAAAAACTGACTACCCATTGCCGTCGAGTTGATTCCGACTCACAGAGATCCTACAGAACAGAGTAGAACTGCCCCATAGGGTCTCCTAGGCTGTAAATCTTTACGGAAACAGACTGCCACATCTTTCTCCTACAGAGCGGATGGTGGGTTCGAATCGCTGACCTTTTTGGTTAGCAACTGAGCGCTTAACCACTGTGCCAATGTGCTCAACTGACTTAGGGGATTGTTTATGAAAACTGTTTTTCTACCTTCTATTATTTCCTTTACAGCACTGGTGGCACAGTCAGTTCAGCAGTTCGAATCCACCAGCTGCTCCTTGGAAACCATATCGGGCAGCTCTACTCTGTCCTATAACATTTTATATACAAAAGGCCTTAAAATAATAATTTTATTTATTATTCAACATAAACCTAAGATACAAATCAGTACAGCCTCATTTTACTGTGAAAAATGAGAGCAGCAAGTTTGAGTAAATTTAGTGATGGCCTCATATACTGGAAGCTGGATTTCATTCAAATACAAAGTTATTCATCTTCACTGTTTAGTGAATATTTATTATACTTGCATCTCCATTATAACTTTTCTATCCTATGCCTTTAGTTTTATCAAGCAAGTAGTTGATTCAGATTTTTTGGGGGGAGATCTGAAATTTAAGTATAACTTTGATTATGATAAAAATATTCCAAATAAACTGCATTTTCATTAGATGAAAAGATAACTTTTTATATTCATAAAGCCTTTGGGGATTTAATAAAACCTTCTCTATGGTTCTAAAAATACTAATGGACAAGATGTTGCAGATTTAAAAATTTCATGAGTAGAGAAACTGAATGATAATATACAACCTTTGAAAAATATAATGTAAAAACCCAATACTTGAGACTTAAAAAAAAAAGTCAGGAAGACACTATTATTTACAAAAGACTATAACAAATTTATTTAAAGACTTAAGTTTATTATTTTTATCAGCTGATATAATTTTCATTTTTCTTTTAAAATGCTTAGAAAAATATTCAGTCATTTCACAATTAACCTCAATTCCTAAGTAGTTAATTACATTTAACTATGATAAATCTCAAATCAGAAGGGTACCACAGATCATCTCAGATCTGGTATCTTTATTAGTATTCTGGGATGAGAGAGAGACCAGTAGGTAACAGTAGAAGGTCTTCAACATATAACATGCCACATAGTATTAGAGACCTGGGGGAGGTTATTTAGATCTACATGAGCCCTTTGAGATTAAAGTTCCTAAGACCAAATTGTATCTTTGTTTGCAATCATTCTTTAAATCTAAAATATGTTTCATGCCTCCTCCAAATTTTTGTTTTAATTTATTTTCATGCATCAGGTGATGCAATCTGGAACTATTTACTTGATAAATTTCACACAGATCACAGTTACAAACTCCTATAATTTACTTGACGAGAAATGAAGTTTTATTGCATATATTCTCTCCTTTAATTTTTATAGTGACTCTGTGAGGCAGAAATAACTATCATGCCCATTTTACAGATGAGGAAATAAATATCAAAAAGAATTAAACCATTTGCCCCAGTCACAAAGTTTGTAACGGTGGACATGGAATTTGAAACCAAAGGGTTCTCTATTTTTATGAAGTGAAATCCGTGTAACATAAAATTAACTATTTTAAAGTGTACAATTCAGTGGCATTTAGTACTTTCACAAAGAGCCCTATTCTTAACATTATCATATTAAATAGATATAATAATGATGTATCCCAGATTTTATCATTTAGGATCAACTAAAAAACATGGCCGTATTGCTGCTTTATTATTTAATTATAATAAAGTTATATTCAAAATTACTTAAGAAATTTTTATATTAGAGAAAAAAATGGTATTGGTATTATATAATTCAAAAAGCAGTACATAATGGTGTGATTACTAAGGTATGTAATTAAATAAACCTAAATAAGTTATGAGTTATCTCTTGATAATTACTAATGTACTTGCTTTTGTTGGTCACTAGTCTTAAAATGGGGCCCTGGTGGCACAGCGGTTAAGCGTTTGGCTGCTAACCAAAAGGTCAGCAGTTCAAATCCACCAGCTGCTCCTTGGAAACCCTATGAGGCAGTCCTATAGGGTCACTAGTCTTAAAAAATAATTCACAAATCGTGTAAAGGAAAAGAAAAGCAGCATAGGCCTTATTTTAGAAAACTTTAAAGAAATTAGAAAGGACGGCATCTTAAAGAAACGTAAATAAATAAAAGAAGCCAGTGTTTTAAACAATGCAATATATGTAACCATCAAAGATTCTGCCAAAGAGTATATACTGTTGCCACTGAATATCTTGATCTCCACAATCAGAACAAAATAAAGAACACAAGAATAGTAACAATTGTGAAAGTCCAAAAAAATTTTTCAAACAGTAGTTGCTAGCCCAGTAGGAGTGACATGCTATGTTCGGCCCATGTTTCCTTTCAAATGATTTTATATTATCTTTCTCTGTGCAAAAAAATTCCCAAAGTTAGTCCTATATGTGCAGAGCTCAACTTTAAGCTTGAATAAAACTTAGAACAGTGTTCTAGCTGTCATACTCCTGGCTACTGCTTTCACCCAAGGTAACTGTGCTCCTATAATGAGTGTTTTTCTGTAAACAATGGTAGCATGTTCACAGTTTGTTTAGTGTTGGGAGAGAATATGTTGGCTGTTACGGTACCTTCACAGGAGAGGCCATGGGAGGTGACTCCAGAGAGACTTTCTCTGCACACGTTACAGAAGGTGGGTCTGGCATGGGAGCAGGCGTACCAGTTATGCATCCCTGAGAAATGTTCCACGTTAAACTGGGCCACCTAGAAATGAGAAATTAGCACAAATTTGCCAAACAAGAAAACAAGACTACAGACGCTTAACTATTCAGAACGTATATAATGAAGATAAAATTTCCAAATCCACAGTTTTTACAAGTAAAGCACTTTGCTTTAAATAGAAAATTTCAAAACGAGGTTTAAACGAGTTTCTGAATGAGTCTACACATAGGTATCTTTACATACTGTAGCTGTATCTCTTTGGTTAACCTTTACAGGCAGTCCCTGGATTACGAACGAGTTCAATTCCTAAATCTGTCTTCAAGTCGAATTTGTACGTAAGTCGGAACAGTTAGGTACAGTTCGTATCTAACGTCAGTCAAATGTTTGTTTTAGTATGTAATGTATCGTGTACTTTCTATTCATAAAAAAATTAAACAAACATTTCTAGATACACTAAAATATCTTTAACACAATAATACGGTAATAATAATAATGTTTTGACGTGTGCCACAAAGTAGCGCCTGTTTGTTATTACAAACCATTGTATGTACCTCGAATTTTTCATATTTGGTCACGCGTCGCTTAACTTGCACGATACGTGCTGTGAAACAGGATGTTATGTGATTTGGACGCTGTGTGAACATACCCATATGGCGAGCATTCACTGATTTTCTACCTCCGTATTGTTTAATAACCTTTTGTTTCACTTCCAAACTGATACTTCTCCTTTGCCTCCTGCGGCTGCTATCACTAGCACTTGTTTTGCTGTGTTTGGCAGTCATGATGCACTTTACAGTAACATTTTCAAAAGAAAATTAAACAGAGAGATGCCACAACACTCAAGAGACACATGATACATGAGATTGGATGCTGCTGCCTATGAGTCAAAACACTGTTATTTATAAGTAGGGAAAGTTCACATTAAAATAACAATAGAAAGTACAGTATACTACAAACATAAGCCAATAACACAGGCATTTATTATAACTATCAATTCACATGTATTATATATGTGCTGTACCATTATTCGGCTGGCAGTGCAATCACTTTGTACACAAGAGACATGACAAACACCTGTTGCGCGCGGGAAGCTGTTGCGTTTGCTATGTCTGGTTACGTCTGCTATGTCCCAGTCCCTGATCGGGATTCTGAATTGTATTAGAACCTTATGGGGCCACGGATGTACGTGTGGTCAGATGTTGCCAGAATGGACGTTATGTGGTGCATGATTGTAACAGACTTTATGGGGGTTGGTTGGTAACTACGGGTTGTATGTAAGTTGGACGTCCGTAACCCAGGGACTGCCTGTATTCCCTAAGAACATGAGATTATGGAAGAGATGCTCTTTTACCTCATAAGTTTCTCTGGTCTGTACAGACTTCAGGCAGCTGATCCAATCCTCCATCTCCTTCCTGTTGTCAGCACACAGCATTAGCCTTCTGAATGGAGTGATTATCTGAAAGGGACAATTCAGATCTAATTACTGTTAATAACCAAGAGAAATTATTGCAAAACCTAATTTTAGAAATTCCACTTGCTAACATATGAGTCTTTATATCCTTAATGAAGAAGGTAAGATTATCTGTAAACACAAATAGGTTTTATTCTCTGCGTATGATCTAATGTGGTCTAGGAAACAAAAAAAGCCCTCATCCGGACTTCTAAGGAGTCTTTATCTTTACCTGTCTTCGATCCTGTTGCTATATACCTCTCAGACTATTTAGCTCTTTACCAAAGGCTATGAACCTAAATAAATAATACCTTCTTATTTCATAGAATATGTCTTGAAAATTGATTTTGAATATACTTTAAAATAATTCATAGGAAGCTTAGAATTAACACATATTTTTAATATGGAAATTAAAAAATTGAGAATCAAAGGAATGCAATATTAAATGATTTCATACTTTGTTTACTATTGTATGAAGATTATTCTGTAACTAGTTAACTAACACTGGATTTATATATAACTTCCACTGCCTGTTTTAATCTGATCTATGTGCAAGATTTTTTCCCATTATGTACAATTCCTCTATATTACTTTTTAGTGAAAGCAAAGAGAAAGAATCAGCATAAAAGTCCTTTAGTTGGCTTTAGGGAGAGAAATAATTATTACTTTCATCTTTTTTCCTGTCACTAAAATAGGCAACTTAATTATATTAAGAACCTTAAAGCAAGTGAAATGAAAACCTCATGCTATTATAGCACCAACAGTGCTTCAAAGTGAGATTCTGAAATGACTTGAAAGAAGCCCGTATTTATCTGTGAATAGAATATTCTGGTTATAATCTTGAAGTTATTAAGTCCTAACTATTTACCACAAACAAGAGGTCATTTATTTACTTGTGGAAGAAGAGCAAAACGTTACATTCCTACCTAGAAATGATTTCCAAATAATACGTTATACATTCACTTGTATAAGCAGTTCTTACTTTCTCAGGTTACAAACCTCTTGATCGCATCATAAATGATCTTATATGGCATTATAGAGAAGAGTTCACAAATAGTGGAAAAGCAATAATCATCTTAAGGGGGGGAAAGACTCCTCCCCAAAAGGAGAAAACCTGTAACCCTAAATCACTACTATTCACCTTAGAAAATAAGCCCAATGTTTTAAAACTATAGAGTGATCAGCCCAGTCTTACCTGCTCACCGGTCACTGCCTCTTCTCCTTTATCATTGGTTTGGGCTACACAGTCTTTCCCCAAACCAAGAGGCCTTTAGCACATCTGCCAGGCATGCGCACTTAAATACAGCCAGCCAAAAGTCACATGGAAGACGAGCACCAACCATTTCACTTTGGGTAATTTTTTAATTGCGTATGAAATGGAAGAGAACCTCATTTTTGCATTTTCTTCTGTCTTCTACCGCCTTCTCTTGATAAAGCATACTAACAACTGGTCACTTCTCTTCCTCAATAAATAGTTAATGCAAAGAGTAATGCCTCCCTCATTACTTAGGAGCCAAATGGATGCTTTATTGCTTCAAATTGTTTTCCTAGGACAGCTCATCAGATGCAGCTGAGAGGCGCCATTAGATCATAATACACTCCTGGCTCCAATGACTGGCATAGCACTCCAGAAATCTCCAAGTTTCACTGGTCTCACTGATGTTATCTGGACAAATGCTGCCTCCGGCCTTTATTCTGCACTATATTATCTGATGTAACTATAAGGATTCCCTCTCCTTCATTATGATGTTATAGTAGACAAGGATTATTCAGATAAATAAACCAAGCTTGCGATTTCATTCTTTAATTTTGTTCTTTGCTGAATTCTAAGTAAAGCATGATGACTGATGGTTTTAACTATCATTAATGCCTTTTCATTCTTTAAAAGTCATTGTGAATTCAACAAAAAGGGGAGCAAGAAGGATAGAGATACAGTTTCTCATTTTTCTTGCAGTTGTTAGGGTAATAAAATGTCTCTATTTGGAAGGATTTCAGCAATATGCTAATGTATGTACCTTACATGTTAATGAAGTAAAATGTGTAATTTGGCAATTTCTTATTTTTAGTAAGTTTTTAAATAGACAATGATAAATAAAGATCATAACATAATTTTGACTTTATAAAGAAATTATAAACAAAACTGTTTTTATTTATAGGCCTTGTGAATAAGTTTGGTTACAAAATCTACTGATTATAAAATTATAAGATGTCAATATGTAAAAAAGAAAAGTCTTCATAAATCATTTGATGTGGTATGTCTGGCTTTGTGACTGCAGTACCAAAAATACCACAGGGGGCAGCCCAGAGGTGTCTGGGCCTAACTGAGGACAAGCCTGGTCTACCCAGCAAACCTGTAACATCCCCTAAATTGACCCTTTACCCCGGGGCAATCCCTCATCAAGCCTTCAGGCTCTGACTTCCACCTCCCCTTTATTTAAGCTCTTTATCATTACAGACCTCTGCAGGAAACGATACAACAGTCACAACTGTTGACTGACAGACTCCAGTTATATACCCTAGCTAAGCCCCATTATTTTGGGAGCAGCAAGCCCCTGCTAAAATTATTTAGGTCTTACTCTGTAGAATTCTGAAAGTATATCTGAATCAGCCTTTTTATTATGATGAGTAGGACAGGGGAGATGAAAGGACAGGACATGATCCCCTCACCACGTGGGGAGGGGAGACTATTTCTCAAGGACGACTATCTGAGCCTGTTGGAAGCTAAGCCCAGGAAATTTCTGTAACTGGAAGACTTTTAAATTTTCTTGAAGATCTGAAACTTCCCTTCCTACAGTTTTCCCTGGCCTTTGTCCTTATCTCAACCCCACAATTACTCTCTCTTCCCACTACCCCAACATTCCTGAATAATTTTTTTCCAGTACATCTGAACTTACTTCAGTAATTAATTTGTTCAAATTATAACCACTACTCCCACCTCAGATCCTGGAACGTATCTGTCTGTCCATCCATCCAAGCATATGTCGAGTTTGTACTGTATGCCAGTGCCCAAGAAAACCATATGGGCTTTGCCTTGATAGTCTATAAGGGAGACATGTAAGCGAACCAAGGATTTTGTCTGAAGAAGTGCTGTACAAGACAGGGCTCCAAAAGAGAGACATCTAAATCAGACAGTTTCCTAAATGCTACTTCAGATAACATACAAAACTCTCCATTAACAGAGATATTCCTCCACTTTAAGAGTTACTGGCCTAGGATACAACGAAAAGATTAGTCCAAAGGACTAATTGTCCACAGCTACCAAGACCTTCACCGGACTGAGTCCAGTACAGCTAGATGGTGCCCG